TGCAATTGCCCCAAACTACTAGTGAATAAATATATGAAATTATCTAATTTTATTCGAGATAACTAAAGAAAAATGAAAAAGTGGAAGATTAAAATGGTGAAAAATGAAACATATATTTTTTTAAAGAAAAAAATAAGAAGTAAAGTACATTTTAATTAAATGTTTGTTTCTACCTATTTTTACTATAAATATTTTCACCAAATATATTTAAAAGTTCTAAAAATGTAAATACGTTATAAATTATATGTATATATAATTAATATACGGATCGTAGCAGATATTTGGATTTTTGAAATTAGTATTTGTGATTTGTTTCGCTTTAGACAGATACTAAATTTTACTATTTTGTTTGCTTTGATTCATGACAGATGTCCGGATTTTTTGGATTTAATCAAAACGAATATCGGATCAGAACGAATTTAACGGATAATTTGCCCAATCCTACAGAACACATCACAAAGTTTCCATTATAGGTGGGATGGGTACAACACCATATGCCAAAAATAGTGTTTCACAAAACTGTTTAACTTGATGTTTTTTTCATTGTGTGTTATACCATTTAAGAAGATTTATCTTAGATAAAAAAAAAAAAAGACTATAAATAGATTATGAACATCCCGCATATAAATAAATTATGAACATCTCCAATATTTTTTCAGTCAAAGCTTAACTAATCAAGTACTTTTATATATCTTATGAAGTTTGAATTCTCCTTTTGTATCCTCCTAATGTGGTGGTGTTAGCTATAGAGAGAAGGACTTCTCGTACACAGCAAAAGCCTCGTTAGCAGTCAGTTGTGGTTCCTGCAATAGCATTTCAACATACCGGTCTTGTTATCAATGCCAATCAATTAGCATAATCATCCTCGAAAAGACATATTTGTAATATTTTTACGACTTAGGTCCAAACCTCAAGATAATAAAAAGAATATGTTGGTCCGTGAACATCTATATTATACGATGTTTAAAGAAAATTCTTCTAAATAGGAGAAGGTTTGCAACATCTACGAGTGAGCTTCTAATCCCAACGGTTCTTGATAAAAAGAAGCGAAATTAATAGTTAGATGAATAGATCACCTGAGTTTTTTGAGGGATATTGTCAGTTTCCTCAGAAGAACTAGCGTTTAAGATGAGCAAACCAAAAAGAGTAGCTAGAAAATCTCCAGCCACTTCCATTAGCTCTCTACCTTTGGCTTTGTCAAAAATCTCATGAACCGTTGATCTCATTGCTTTCAGTAAGCTCCCATAAGTCGTCCCGTGGCCACGTTCTATGGCCTGAATGAAAGCATATGTCATTGCCCCAGTCCACGCACCCCCTGACAGTTCCTGCAGGAGATGCATGTTTCTTTTTGAGAGTTTTTAGATGAATATGTTGGTACATTTTCGTAGAGTAACTAAGTATTATAACATATTCGGTCTAAAGGTAAAAGAGGGATTTTTGGGGTTTGTAGAATCCCTACTTATATTATCAAAAGTTGTTCGATATCTAGAGATTATATGAGCCAAAAGTCAAGAATATACCGGAGTGTCAGCGGAGGTCTGGTCATCGTCACACCCGGTAAAGGAGAAGACTTCACCGCCGCTCGTACCTTTCCACATTCCTGATGGAGGCCGATGGTCTTCCCATTCATAGTTTCCGAGGCTATTCAATCAATGAAATTAACAAATGATGAAGAAAGTAGCTGTTTTTTTTGTTACATAGTTAATATATTAAATTTGGGTTAC